GCGCCGTCGGCGCGACGTGATTCCAGCTCGAACCTAGAGCTTGACTTCGAGTCTTTTTGAAATTTGTGGTTTTGCTACGAAGTGTAGCCGAGACCATATCAGAATTACAAATGTTTTCGACAGCCTTCTCAAGTTATGCCCGGGGCGATTTGGTGGCGGTGTCAGATCAACTCAATAGTATACCAAATTGATTTTTTACCTGCGTCTTTAGTGACAAAAGCTAGGTTATTTGGCGCGAAATAAACTTGTGAGAGCATCTTGCCCTGCACCGCAGAGCGATCGTTGCGCAGGGGCGGACGATAGCTTCACAACACAGCTCACGAATTCTATTTGAACATATAGCATGTGGGTGACATGTCTGATCTGGTACCTAGCACAGGGCAAGATCCAACACGATAACCACCAGCTTGTTATGTTATCAAATCTTTTATTGGCTATATCCTCACTGTTAGCGGTATTACTAAAACAGCGATATGAGTCACTTCTTCCGAAGGCCCAAACGACCGCGATGCCGTTATATCAAGGCTTGCGATTGAAAACTGATGTAAAGACTATATTTCTTGATGTGCCAACAGTCTGCTGTGAACGGCGGGCTGACTCAAAGTGCCAATACATGCGGCAATGTGTTTGAAACATGCACAAGAATGTGCTTACCCACGAATCAATTATGAATTATCAGTTCATATATCTAGCTGGGTATGATGTATTTTCCCTTCTGAGGTGGCCACCCAGAGGGAATCATGTGCCTAGTGTAGTATTCTGTGCGTAGGATACATCATCAGGTAGCACTACACATTGAGCGGGATCCGCTGAGCGGAAGCTGTATTCCACACAACGGTCTAGGACCAAACGTATATACGAGCGTGCGAGAGCCGCCTTGTGGGCAGGCTTCGATTGCTGCACCTGTGCATCGTCGAGGTGGTTGGTAAAAATACCACTTCCCTCGGAGGTCGAGGCGTTGGTGAACGGACATGGTGTCTGCAAGGTGCGGTAATGGGGCTAAATTTCTTAAATGCAACACGCGAATGCTAGGGGAATGCGAGACATTGATACAGACGGAGTGAAGAAAAAGTTACATTGAATGCAGTTTCCTACCTATATATGCAACTTTGGGATCTATACTACTAAGGTGCGACCAAACTATTTTTGTTTGTTCGATGTCGTGGCGATAAAGGATTTCGGCTTTTCTCGTTGTATCGCAAAGAATGCGAATATATTCTGTCTTACGTGGTCTTGCTGATGCAAATCACGACCCCCACCTTACGAGCCAGTCGTATGTATTATGCTCGGTTCTACGCAGAGATGCAAATCTATCGTTCTCCATAGTTGGGCTATCCACTGCTTCAAAACTGCGCTGCATTTCAGTACGGCTGAGAGTACGCAGCACGATGATGTAGATCGAAGAGTGCAAGACTGATCTATTCCATTCTGATTTCGAACTCACACTGAGACGCGTGGAGAGAGAGGACGTGCCGCAAAAACTATGAACGGTCTCGTGAACCAGCTGCGGAAGAATCATCCTTCGTCCGCGTGACTCGATGAGCTATGGAATACTTCTTTCCACGTGGAATGGCTGGCAGGCTTGTGGGTAAATCTGGACTGTTACCAATATCTAGCAAATGGGAGGGATACCTTCACTTCAAAATTGCATGGAATTATGATGTCTCACTTTGACACGATACTCTGGCACCATTGTCATCTACGGCCTGGTGCACCCTCCGCGTGCTTCCCACACGCAAGCAGCTGACCTTGTATTAAGGTGAACAATTTGTCAGTATCTATAACATCTGTCCAATGGAGACTTGTGGGACCGATATTAGCAAGAGCCGGGGGTGACAGTTTGACACCTCAATGTCGGAGGCATGCTTTGAACTCACAACGGCATGTATCAGTCAACGTCAGCGTCACTAAAGCTGGTTTGCAAAGCAGTGAGAAAGGCGAGACGACGCTATTTTACCCATTCCAAAAATTGAGGAAAATATTCTCAACAGCATTCAATATTCAAGCAACATATTCAAAAAAAGGTGGACGATTATCTAAGCTGCTTATTCAAGCGCAATCGGTACCTTAAAAAGGTATGAACTGTAAACTGAGACAGCGCTCACGAAGCAAATTTTTGGTAGGTATTTTGCTCTCGCTGTAAATTCGAGGGCTTCGCGCAAATCCGAGTAAGAGCTCATACCCCAGCGCGGCGAACAACTTCTGATGGCTTAAATTACTAGTCAAAATAAAAGAATTTTTGCATTAGTCGATATGCCCCTTGCGCTCGCAGATGAGCAAGCTCGGGTCAAGATCGCTTGTAACAAGCTGGGCATCATCGTAACTCCCGCTTCAGGAAAAAGGGATGAGGTTTCTACTTTGCAAAGCCAAACCAGCACATCCTCTTCTCGACGAACGGTTTGGCCGTGTGTTGGGTCGGAAGTCTTAAGTCAATGCAGCTATCCTCATCGGACATCAAGTATAGCATCAAGAGTGTCGGCCGCGCTAAGCACACCTTTCTCAGAGGCTCGCTGAGTCATATTATGGTTTACACAGTAGAGTACTCCCGATGTAAATATGCTATCAGGATTAAGCACAAAAGACTGGAAAGAGTGCAACTCTGCGCCTAAATTGGGTGTATATAAAATGGCAAACAATCCATAACTGATGGATTTCGACCCCGGTATTTCAATGGTGTGCAGACGCCGACGAAAATGTCCCATTTATGTCAAGACTTTGCGCTGGAGACCCAAGACTTTCAAATGTGCGATATAGTAGACAACTGGAATTTTATCATTGCAAATGGTCATTCTACCACATTTTGGTTATATGTTTAGTATCGAGGTGGCTAATCGAAATATATGCTTGGGTATGATGCACTATAAAAAATTTGCGGTGTCAAGTATTTACAACAGCCTCCGTCTTCGCAAAATGATATTTAGAACTAAAACTGCGTTGCGATCGCCATAGCACATTAATAGCTCAGATATACTTCCTTACAGTCGAGTGGCATCACCATTACAAATTGCTTTACGGAGAAAGACATTTAGAATATATTAGTAGAACCGATACAGTCATCACGATAACCATCGCAAGTGACATATCAGCTTACCTCAGATAATGCAAAGATGTTCTTCAAAGAGCCTGTGTGCTTTTATTGCGGCAATATCAGCATAGCAAAAGACACTGCATAGCGGAGTGTCTTTGCCCAAAACGTGATCTAGATCGGCCCATCTAAAGTCCCATGACGTCATGTATGCTTATGTAGTTCAAATAACTTAAGGGCTTCTTTTTGGACTCAGTTGAATTTCCGCAATCTGCAAAGTGACATCTGTCGTTCCAGCCCATTTGGTATCAATGTCTATATACTCATACGAAGATATTCATATGATAAGCGTTGCACATCTTCTACCCGAAAGCAAATCATCATCAATCGTAAAGGCACAACGAGCGCAAATGCATTGCCATCACCATATCTACTTAGTGCAACGAACGGGCATAAAGGAAAAGCGACTAGATCCATGGATTGAAGTGCACTTAAGATATCTGACTTTCGGTCGAGTTGACTAGGCGAAGTTCTGGTATAAAGTTTGTATGGTAATTCTCGTTGAGGCAACAATCTAGCAAACTTAGCGTGGAATTTCACCATCTGATTACTATTGATTGCGCTGTTAGAAGTGCACAAGCTGATTGAATTTGTGTCGTCAATGAATTTGACCGTCTATTGTTCGAAAGATTGTTATTAAGCCTCAATTCTGAAACAGAAATATGAGAAAAGCATAATTTGAATGAAAGCGTATGTCAATCTTTTCCATGCAAGCAAATACTTTTGAATTCAACTTCACAAGATTTTGGGTTCAGTCAGGAAGAGCTCTGGAAGGATATTTTAGCCTATGCATTATTGCTACTCTTGGCGATTTGTAGTACCACTAATATTTATTTTATGTTGTGCCTTCGACAGATACACCAGCAGCTCGCTTCTTCAACATAGTTTACAAATATATAACCTTTCCCTGTCTGTGGATTAGGGGAGCGAAAATGCAGGGTTCTCTTTATCGCTGTTTAGTTATTTCAACAGAAGTTGCACATATGCCGAGTTTCGAATGGAGGCTACTGTCTGAACATGCGTAAATCACCAGTTGTGTGTAATGAGTGGTTCATCCTCGCTCCTTGATTTCAAGTTTATGAAATAGGAATCAAGCGAAATTATCACGCAAATAATCTACTTCAAAGAAACAAGCTATTAACAAAGATATGTCACAACATCTGGTAATAGAGGATTTTAACGTCACAAATAAACAACGTCGATGGGTCACTTTCCCTTCGCCAGCCAGCCAACGGTCTATACTTTAACCAAAGGCTTAGAATCAATATGATTAACTTGTCGCGTAGCCTTGTCCTCAATAAAAATGTTACTTGTTTGCGTTTACGGGACGTGGTGATGTTGCAGCATGGATGCTGTCATTGTTTTGAAAATAATGATAGCTACTTACTTGTATTCATTGTTTCGCCGTAACATATAACTGGAAGGCATAGTGGTCATCCGATTTACTTCTGATCCAGACGTATGTCGTCAGGCGCCGAAGATGCCTCGAGGTGCGTCTTGATTGATGACTTCAAGAAATGTGTTCTGTTATCAAATCGTCTGCGAGAATCGACCGGTACATGTGTTCTACGTAAAGTCATTGGGTCTTTTATGAAGACAAGTGACAAAAAACCTGGTGATTGTATTTTAATGTGTGGCCGGAATATGCTGGCTTACTACGATGTGTCAAAAACTGCACTAAAACACAACTCTACATGTAAATTTACGGACCATCATCTCATACCATGTCGGCACAGTGCCAAAGTTAAGCGGTGATAAAGGTCTTCCGGATACCATAGTCAACATGTTTGGACACTTAGCTGTACTACAATGGTTTCCGATAGGTGCCAATTGTAACTGATTTTGTGTATGTGATCACTTCATATGAAACGATAAAACCCAGCTATAATCTCGAGATGCTGCGGTCCGATAAAGACCCACAGCAATGGTGACACAGACGCGCAGTATAGGCAAGCTATTGCGGTCAAAGAGGCCACAACAAGCGAACGTAAGCGGATTTTGACTAGAATTTGTCTTCAGTGTTCAAAGTTTCATACAATGCATGTTTGTTTTTCATCTATTTAACTTCGGATACCCATCGCTCTTCTATTATAGCGCTAAAGGCTTCAACGGTTATATACATTCCACTTTCATCTCTTGTGCCTTTAACGTGAATTTGTGGCTCATCACGCTTTCTGTCATTTGCTCCCGGTAATGGCGTGCCTGTGTCACAATCTCTGGACTTCAACAATCTGGTTACCTCGTCTATTTGATGTGTTATTGCAATTTTCGACAAGACTCGCTGAACGTGAGACGCTTGACATTAGGTGGGTCTTCTCTCTTTCTCACTTTCTCTTTTAAGTTCCACGTCGCGCCAGAGTTTTGATGAAAATATGCCTTCACGTCGCAACATGTTGTCGTTGTCCACTCAAGATATAAAAGATCAGAACCTGTCATATCGTTGTTCGGCTGATCCTTTAACGCAGACTGATCAGTCGTTAGTGGAATTTGAGGTCAAACGTATTGATCATCAAACAAGAGATTGGCATGAAACAAACTTAGTGGCTTTGTCTACCTCCAAAAGCGTCAATAATGTCATGCTGACCAACATTGATGTAGACATCGCTTCAAATCTTGATCATCGCATGACTGCACGATCTTCGGTTGCCACTGACGAGTCGTCGATCACTGGCGATGATGCTCACTTCGTGATCGATGAGGATGAGCTCGACCTGCAGTTGCTTCATGACATTGCCGATAATATAATTGGTCGTAACGTTCCTTTTGAAACACCATTTGGGACCAAAGCTCAGTGCTACGCCGACTTCACAGCGAGTGGCAAGGCCATCGAAAGCATCGAAACTTTCATGCGAAACGAAGTTATGCCAACTTATGGCAACACCCACACAACCACTTCAGTGACTGGTCTTCAAACCACTTCGTTTCGAGAAGAATCCCGTCAGATCATTGGCAACGCTGTGCATGCGCGTCTGCACGGCACTGGAGATCATGATGTTGTCATCTTTACTGGTCAAGGATGTACGAGTGCAATTCACAAGTTTATTACCGCGCTCGGTCTCCATACAATGCGACGCCATCATCGTCCATACAAACGCCCAGTCATCTTCACGTGCCCATTCTCTCATCACTCGAACTTGCTGCCATGGCGCGAG